AATGTACCAATAAAAGAATTTAATACAAAAAAAAAAAAAGAGTCAGTTTGCCCTCTGCCCCTATGGTGTCAAACTGATCTCCAATATATACATATACCCACAGGTACGATTCTTTCACTCCATATGGTTATAGATTGTACAGGACAAACAAAGATAAAAGCACATGGAGTATTGATTTAAGCAGAAAACTTTTGGGGTTTTTTGGAGACAGAATCTTATTATATAGTTCAGTCTGGCCCTGAATTCATTCTGTAGCCCAGGCTGGCCTTGAACTTGTGGTGATCCTCCTTCCTCAGCCTCCCAAGTGCTGAAATTACAGGAGTATGACACTAAACAGGAAAAAAATTTTAAAACAATATAATATGTAAAAATGAGGAGAAAATAGGCTTATGTTGCTATTAGGTTGCCTATGACTCTCAGGGAACTTAGGCACTTACAATAAGCTGTTATTTAAAGTATGGGTTCTGATGATAAACATTTAACAGAAAAATGTGTGACTTTTGGAAGAAAAAAAGAAAAAAAAACTCTGAGCAACATCTCCATAAAATTATTGTTCCTTTTAGAAAACATACTCCTGCAGTAACCCTGAAAGCAAACAAAAAAACACTTAAAAATAGGCAGTGTACACCTTAAAAGAAAACATTTTAAAAAATTAAATTGCTTTGCCATCTTAAAGAAGGATCTTAACTAGGAATAATACAATAAAAAGCAAAAGCAAATAGAAAATTGAAAAATAGGGAAAATTTAATTTTATTGTCAGTTTTATGAACTGATCTTAGAAAAGAGGTTGCTTTTACTAATGCATTAATTGTAATGAACATGGTAAAGAAGTGCAACGTTAGTCCTCAGTAAGATAAGGACTGAGAGTTGACATTAGACTTGGCAAAATGGAACAATTCTATGGGTTGTGCATTTTTTTCACCAATCTTCAGATAGGGAAATTGGGAACAAGAGGGCTTTAATTCATTCAAAGTCATACATTTAAGTTCCACAGCTGTGATTTTAAACCATGGAGGTGATTCTAAAGTCAATGTTCTTTTCACAGGCTAACTCCTAGCATTTACCCTCCCCAGTAAAGATTCTCAGATGCTCAGGGATTGAGCACAGTGATGGTTGCATATACTTATTAACTCCCACGTGTCTCTCCAGAAATTTCCTGATTTCTATTGAGCAGTAAATTCTATTAGAAGGTTCACGGTGACTTTTCCTCCTGCAATGGTTGAGATAAAACTCAGGGCCTCACATGTACTAGACAAGTACTCTGTTACTGAGATATACCCCCAGACCTATTTTTGCTGGTGTGTGTGTGTGTGACCAGGCAACAAATTTCAGAAGCTCACCAAGACATGTGAGGTTACATGTTTTCCCAGCCCAACTATTCCAGGGTTTCTCTTCAGTATGAAATCTTACACTGAATGAAATTCAGATTGAACTATTATTCACCTATAGTCAGTCTTGTTATCTCCTTTTATATAGACAAATTAGACATAGAACTGTATATTTCTTTTCAGTGAAATTAACAGATACTTTATGGATTGGTATGAAATTGTGGTTGGAATCATTTAAAAACCCTATTTCCTAATTTTTTATTGCTGGCATTTGTTTTTTAAAATAAAAATCTCTTCCATTATTGCATCCAACCATTTCCTAAATCTTTATTAATACATGAGTTTTGTAATTGATCCTAATGAAGGTTCTGGATACTAAGTTATAAAAAATGAAATTTATAGTAATCTTGTCTCTTCTTATATGAGGATTATTGCTTATTTCCTTTTTATAATTTATTGCTTGATTAGAATTTCAAGATAATATTAATGTTAATGATGGCAGCAGTCATCATTTTTTCTTAGGAATAAAAATGACTGATGTTTCATGATTAAGTATACCAGTTTGAGATAAAAAGATCTATTCTTTTCCTTGTTTTGAAATAAAGGCACATTTTATTTAAAAATTTTAGCATTTACTGAAGTGTTTTCAAAAATAATGTTTGATTTATCATTATATTAAACCCAATAGTCAAAGGAGCTTGGAGTTAGAAACCAGGCCATAAATGCAAATAGTGAAGAACTCAAAGAAGTCCAGGATGTAGATGTAGATGTGTGTGTTGCCAGTATATAATGGTATTTAACCAATGAGAAAATAATTTTCTCTCCTGCCTCCTGACCTTCTCTCTTTGTGCCCACAATCTAGCTCCTCCCCATGAGAACAACTGGTAATAGGACTTGTTGAGCAATATTTCACTAGGAGACATAGATATTGCATTGCATGTGTATCTGTGAGCATACCTTCTGTATGTATACCTATATACCTTCTTGGTTTTTTTCCTGTAAATGAGTAGAGGAAATCATTCAGCCACCCTTATCAATGCAAATATTTGTTAAGTGAATTTGGACTCTGCTCCCCCAGATATGGAGGAAGATATGGAGCTTTAAGAAATAATTGGACAAGGCAGTGTTCTTCAATCAAGCTTTAACACAGCATTGGGGATTTAGACAAAGTAGCATTTCATTTCTCTTGGGCTACTAATCCTTTTTGTTCATGGTTCCCATTATAGGAAAAGAGGTATAAATGGATTTAAGAACCAAAGCCCATCATCTTAATCCTAATATATTCCTTCTGTTCTTTACCATTAAATTCAAGCACTGCCTCCTATGGAACAGCTACATTTATAACGTCACTTGAATTATGCTAGGTTCCCTTTCCTTAAATTCCTATTTCTTCTTACATAGAACTTTTTTAAAAATTAATTTTATTGGTACAATTTAAATACACATAACAATCTCATGAAATGGGATTTGTACCTGTACATGGTATATCTTGATTCCTTTTTCTCCCAATCTCCTCCCCTCTCTTGAACCCCCTCCCCTTCTTACATAGAACTTTCATTACTTCTGCTATTCATATTTTAGATACTTTCTCTCAAGTCAGAAAACCTCTTAAAAATAATGAAAAGTCTTCTATTTAAAAGGGTTAACATATGGTGTCTCAATCAATATTTGTGGAAAAAATTAACATCCTGCATGGATCATAAATTGTAAGAATATATAGGTATATGTTATATGTGTATGTGCAATACCCACCCCACTCCTACATACACATTCTTGGAAAACAAAGAAACAAACAAAAAGTCAAACCCTAGATGAGATTTTCTTCAAACAGGCATCTCACTATGTTTCTCAGGCTGGCCTCAGACTTGTGATTGTCCCATCTCGGCCTTTAGAATAGTTGGGACAATAGGAACATGCCACCACACCTAGCTCAGTTCCTAGATGGGGCTTTTAAAGTTATATGCCAGACAGGCACTGTGGCACCTGTCTGCACTCCCAGCACTCTGGGAGGCTGAGGCAGGAGGACCACAAATTCTAGTCCAACATAAAGAAAAGTTTTACTCCAAATCTAGTAAAGATATGAAGACTGTGACCTACGTTGACTAGAAAATTTGTGATATTATTTACACAAGGAAAGGATATATTGATGTTGCCTGACAAAGGTTTTGTGGATTGATGAACATTTTGAACTTGGAAAGTTGAAAAATAATTAGATAGCAATAGAGTTTATATTCTCAAGTATCCATTTTAAAGCTCTTATGAATTATTATTGCTATCAAAAAACAACACTAATATCTTGTTACTATTATTTGATGTATGTAATTTAAGGTATAATCATTATCCTGGTAAAATTAACAGTAATCACATATATAAATATGTACTTATATACCTTCATTGTCAGCATTGAGTTTGGTTTCCAGTTCTGCTATCCTGTGTTTTATTTCAACCACTGAGAGTTGCACTACATCCCTGTTATTAAAAATATTATTGTTAATTCCAATTCAATTAAAAATAACATAAGACTAAAACATAGTAACCCACCACTACTTCAGAAACAATTTATTATGAAATATAATTTACCGAAGGCATAGATGAAACTCGGGAATAAGCTAAATGAAGGCTTCATATTAGCCAGTTTAAGGAAGGATTAAACATACAGAAAAGTTCAAAACTCTCAGGTAACCACCGGATGACCTGTACTCTTAACTTAGATATGATACCCAAAAAGTCAGCTGTCTCAGAACAACAAATTAAGAGCTGCAAATTATTACAAAAAGGAGTAGCAAAAGCCATTGGTAATAATAATCCAAAATAAAGAAAAACTAATAAAACACACGTACACAGGTGGTGTAATAGAAAACTAAGGTAAATATTAACATTTTAATAAAGGTATTACTGTAAAAGATACGTTGCCATTAATCTCCCTCAAAACACTTCCTCTCACTTAAAACACATGTATCCCATTGTTCTTGCCACTTAATGAAGTTCTAAAAGTCCTTTTTCTTGAATGTCTTGCCGCGAATGCCTTGATATCCTGAATTGATTCAAAATATTTACCTTTTGTGGTCATTTTGGCTTTGGGGAAGAGATAGAAGTTGCAGGGTATATAATATCTAGTGAATAAGGTGGATAAAGACATACTATGATTTTAAGTCTCACTCCTCATAAAGAAAGCGGCAAAAATGATAGGATAAGTGTGTTCAGAGCTAGGGAGAATATCTTGAGAAGGGCTAATGGCAATGTGTCTTTTCCTGTAATGTTTTTAAGTTTAAACATTCACTGTATACTTTAATCACCCCATGTACATACAGAAATTTTTTTAAAAAAACCATTCCATAGATTAAGTATTTAGGACACAAGTAAATGTCATATTATCATAATGCAGTATGATGACAAGAATCATTTTTTCAATAAATAGCTTCGAATACCTATTCTGTTCAAGGCATGGACAGCAAAATGCACAAGTTGAAAGACAATAACACCAGCTAACATCCACTGAATGCTTATTACCTACAAGTGCTAATTCATTCACATTACATTTCATTCCATCCTGGTAATAGCCACAGGAACTATTTATATAACAATCTTAGAGTTGAGAAAGCTGAGGATTAATTAACTTAAGATTGTATAATATTATTGAGTGATAATAACGAGATTTGAATTTATGAAGAATTCTTCTAAAATATTTTAGAGACTAAAGTACTTGCTCTGATCCTTTACTGCCTCGACAAAATACATAGAACTTGTCCTCAGAATTAAGAAAAGGCCAATTAGAAGTGATTGGAGCCATAACAGAGCAGAGCACAGGAATCCAGTTCTCATGGTGAGACAGGGCACCAGGGAGAGGGGCACTCCTCATGGTGCTTAGTGAGGGCCTCATTACCCTACACAGACCAATTAGAAAAGTGCTATTTTCAAGGCTTCATTTGAATATGGTGCTCTTCACAGGACCAAATATAAGAAGCTCTTTTCAATTTTTCATTTGGATATGGGCACAACCAATCAGAAGACATTATTCCTGATCATTTACATACAGCGGGAAGCCAAAGATCTTTTCCATAGGACAGTTTACTTATGGCATAAGGCCAAGTGTGTTTGATAGGACAGTGGTCCTGATGTTTATTTGTATGAGAAGGCAATAACCTGGGAATTTTTGATACAAAAGACCCTTTCCCCTATGCTAGCTGTGGGCCTTTTCATCCACCCACTCTCATTCTGCAAAACATACTCCTTTTCCACCTTCAATAAAAGTACACTTTCACTGTCAGTTCTGGATGTTGTCCAATTCTTTGGGACACCAAGAAACTGGAAAGATTCTCATGGGACCTTCCATCCTTTAACAATGGGGCCTGTGGGTAGAATTAGGATTATCTTTTTTAAAACATCCTCAGAACGTTCAACATTTTGACACGAAATACTAATATTGTTTTTTAACGCATATAGTAGGCTGGTAATACAGCTCAGTGGTGGGCTGCTTGTCTAGCATTTGAAAGGTCTTGGGTTGGATTCTTGGCAAAGCAAAAAATAAGTGTGGAAAAAGCATATAAAGATGCTTCATTTCTACAAAATGTCACTTCTGAAGTTCTTCTAAGGAGAGAAAAGAAATGCTTAACAAAATAAAATCCTTGGAATATGAAACAGAAAAACTTGAAATTTAATGGAACATCAAAACCAAACATATTTTAGCATCACAGTATAGGGCCATAATGCACTTCATTAAACTTGATCCTCAAGGCAGAACAAGCAGCTTATTTATACTACCTAAGGTTACAACAGTAAACTAATCTTTCACATAAAACAGTGTTTTGGGAAGTCGCTCGACGTGCCCTTTATCAATCAGGTCTCAGATAGATCTCAGTGGCTTTGGGAGTTGGGTGGTGGGGCGCCCCAGGGAGGCGACAAGGCCGAGGACCGACCGCAACCACGTGAAGGCCCGCGCGCCACCGACTCACTTCCTGTGGATTTCTTCCAGCAGCTGAAGTTTGAGGCGCTCCAAGCTCACACAGTCAAAGCTGTCGCCTCTCCCCTCCCCCATAGTGGCAGGTCAGAGACCACCTGCGCTCTTCCCCTCCGCACAGTTTAGAGCATAAGACCTGAAGGGATACCCGGAGGCCGGGAAGAACAAAGTGCTGTCACCGGCCGTCGCCATGACCAACTGCCTCACAGTCGCCGGCTCCCGCGCTGTCCTGTCGCGTCACGCGGTGACGTCACAGGGCGGTCCGCCATCGCCTGGCGACTGAGGCTGAGGGGGCTAAAACTCACGCAAACCTCTTCACTTTCCCTGACCACCGTCCGGAGCAGGTCCATCGCTTGGCCGATAGTTTCAGCCCTTTCCTCCTCCCTAACTGATGGAGGCAGCTGGGTGTGGAGGGCTTGATGGGGGGCAGCGTAGGGGTTGAGGTGCGCGGACTGCATAGCTACTATGTGCCAGGGAGTCCAGAAAGAACATCCACTTCCTTTTCCTTGCGTCCTGCCAGGTACTTGTATTGCCTTAGACTCCTATGCCTCATCAGGGAAATCCCAGACCCAAGAGCGGCTGTGCCTTGCTTTGCCTCAGTTGAGTGTGTACCACAGGTTCTGGTTAGGGTTATCAGAGAAGGAGCAGACCTTGGAAGGATAACTGCTTGAACTCAGGAAAATTTCTGAGTGTCCCATCCAGATAGTCTGTCTTGGAGTTTAGGCAAATCTGTGGACTGTCCGCTGTGACTAGAAATTTTATTATATGTTTAATCTTAAATTTTGCGTTCTACTCCTGCAGCGTCGTGGTTTAATAGTCTCCGTTCACACCCCCAACGTGCACTGGCTACTGTGTTTGAATATAGTTTGCCACCTCCAAAATTCATGTTGAAATTTAATGCCTGTTAAGAGATGAAATCAAGGGATCTTTAAAAAGATCCCTTTGCTCTCATGAGTAGATAATCCATCCATCTCATGAATGGTTAGTGGCTTATCTCCGGAACAGGTCTGTTGTAAAAGCCAGTGCGGCCAGAACTCTCTAATGCTCTGTCACTGGGCTGGTGAGGTCTTGCACCACGTTGGGATTTTGCCAGCATAAAGGCAAATACCAGATGCAGCCCCTTGGTCTTGGAGCATAACCATGAGCCAAAGTAAACTTCTTGATTGCTTACTCAGTCTGTAGTATAGTGTTACTGGCTGTAGAAAATAGTCTAAGACAATGTCCTTTACCTTCTGACTCTAACATTTTCCTGGGTCAGCTTGAGAAGTGTGAACATGGAACCATGTTTCCTGGCAGAAATCTGCACAAGTAACCTCCCCCTGGTAAAGGATTTCTTCTTTTTTCCTCTTCTCCTCCTCTTTAAAAATTCTTCATTTCAGCTCTAGTGCTGAAATGTTATACTTCTGTAAATGGAAAACCTTTCAAATATTTAAAAACTAAAAAGGATATTTGGTTGATGCTTACGACATTTTTGGAAAACCAACAGTTTATGGGAAAAGTATTAGAAACTGACAGCAAAAATTAGAAACTTATGGTTGCATAGTTTGCTCAAAATGTTGGTTATGGTGCAGCACACTTGTGATCCCAGCACTGAGAGCCTGAGGCAAGAAGACTGCAAGTTGGGGCCCAGGCTGAGCAACTTAGTAACTTAGCTAGATCCTGTCTCAAAATTTGAAAACAGTTGGGGATGTAGCTCAGTGAGAAGAAGATTCTGAGTTTAATCTCCAATATTGAAAAAAAAAAGAAGTTTGTACAAAACAAACCTGACTGATGAGCAAGACATGAAGTGGGTTTTGATTAAAAAAAAAAAGATTTGACAAATTTGGAAAAGTCTCTATGGGGGAAGTTTTAAGCAGGGAAATAATTTGAAATTGAATTATTTGAAAAAAACACAAATGTAGTAGTAGCACATTAGACTGACAGTGTTCACTGTCCAAAGCAATAACCCAGAATTCTAGATTTTGAAGCATTTCAGTGTCAGGAATCAGCTGAACTAATAGCAGGAGTATATTGTGTACAAAGTGACATGTAAGATGTTAAATATATTCGCTGCTTCCAGAGAACCTGAGGTTTAATGGATAAGTGTAATATGAAAGAATTCAAATAAGTCTCCTCTTAAAGATCTAATATCTATTCTCTACATTGGTAGCTTCTTCCCTTCCGCCTCAGCCAGAGTTCTTATATTTTCTCTTTTATAGTGGTGGAGGTGAGAATGTGCTGGGGATAGGTAGAGAGCTAGTTATGAGTTAAATAGTTTCAAAACTTCCCAATAATGCATACCTGACCCATAGATTTTGAAATGTCAAAGCCAAGAATTGATGTTTTTGTTCTTTGGTTCCTTTGCAGAACTCTCTGCTTTTAGGTCAGGGAGGCCAAGAATCACTTCCTTTCTGATGCTGCTTCCAAATCACTACATTTCTATCTGCATGTTTACAAACCCACTCCTCTGGTCCACGTGTCTGTATAATGCCCTCTACTCTTCCTCCTTGTTCCGCTCAGAGACTTCATAGTCACTTTTTGTCTTCTTGAAAACAAAAGGGTCTTTCCACTGTCTTGCCATACACCTGACTGGACTTTCAAATGGCTGCTTCCATCCTACAGCCTTACCCTTCAAATCACAACTTTCATCACTTGTATCTCCACTTCTCTTCTACAGCCATACTCTCAATCTTGTCATCACTCAGAATAGCTTTACTTCAAACATCTTAAATTCAAAAACTATCTATAAAGCCTCCTGTCCTTTCAGATCCCCAATCAATTACTGCTTACACAACAGTGTTTCATTCATTAAAGTTATGTTCTGGAGGCTCATTACACACATTCCAGGACCCTTTCTTATATGTAAGAGATCTTATTTAATCGATAGCACACTCCAGAGCTGTGTTCTAAATCTATCTTTTTAATTTGAACAGAATATACTAGGGGTGGAGATGGAGAACATCCTTACTGATAACTGTTTTTTCCAATGAATAAGCTCCAGGGTGATCATATCTGTGACCACTCTGCATAGAACGTATTTTATGACAATTTCAGGCTTTTTTAAAAAAAAATCTGATCTGCCTTACTCATCCTTCTGGATGTTTTAAGTATACTGTGAATACAGCAAGTCCTTGACTTACGAACATTCAATTTGTGAACTTTCACAAATAATGAATAGGCCTGGTATTAGGAACTTTTATAGATGTGAACAAATTGAAGAAGTAGCTCATGTGTCTGCCAGACATTGTCACAGTTGTGCTGCTGTGTGCTTGCTGTACAGTGTGATAGTGTACAGTAGTATAGTGCTCAGAGCCCAGGATGTGCAGTAGCAAGAGGAAAAGCAGTGGTGCTGTGGAGGGGACTGTTAGGAAACCTAAAGCAGTAAACACATTTTTGTGTACAAGGTGTGTAAGACTCAATTTGTTGGATTTACGAACAAATCTGATATACTGTAGAAGTTTCTATGTAGAAATTTCTCTTCAGAAATGAATACAATGTTCTCTTTGAAGCATTTCTGTTGCTAAATACAAAAATTGCAAAATCTGAGGAAATGTTATGGCTTATATCTAAATGTGCCCCCACCACATGAGGCTTTGGAGGGACATCTAGATACAAGCCATAATAGCTCCTCACCACCAGTAGGTCTGCCAGGAATCTATGTGTATTCTTCAATTGCTGTGGAATGACCCAAACTTCTCTTCCATGGATTCTAAAATACTTGCAGATGTGTCCAAAGGCCATGCACACATGCTTAGGCAGAACAAGGAACGCTCCTTGAGCCTCACTGAATAGGGGAATGTATTCCAATACAAAGCCCAAGCTGTGTGGATTCCTGATCTCTTTATAAGAAAGTGTTCCAGGCTCAAAGCCCATTCTGATGTGGCTGGTGTATCAGAGGTATTAAAAGATTATGCACATGAATCTGTCTCACCCAACACTTATCTACCCTGAAAACACCCATGAACAGAGAAAAAAACCAAAAGCTCACACTATCACAAAAAACTAGATGAACTATTGTATCTTGAGAAATTTCTATCATCAACAGAATTATAATAAAAAACAAAATTGTTAAGCAGCCAGAATCAGAAAATTATAAAGACCATCTGTCCTCTTATCTACATCTATGTATGAGAAACAAGAAGACTGGCCAGTCACTCTGTTGTTTAGGTCCTTCATTTTTGAAGCCAGTACATGACCTCTTATTTCTCCTGATTAGTGCTATTCTTTTTGATCTTGGGTAAGTACTTTACCTCTCTATACTTCAGTTCCTTATTCTGTAAAATGAAGTTCTAAAAGTACTCACCTTGTAGGAAAGTTGGGTTTATCTATATAAAAGCACTTAGAACATCACCACCACATAGTAGGCAACATATAAACATTAGCTATCACTATTACTATAGCCAGAGAGTCCCTGAAGGTGCACCTAGAAAACTACCTAGTACAAGTAGGAGAGGGGCAGTCAGTAAAGGCAAAATAAGGAAAACCCCAACCCAGTAAAAAATACTGAGAACTATTGTTTTTCACACACTATTTTACATCTATTTTCTAAAAAAGTGAATACAGAGATAGGCAAAAGGCCTTGTCTTAGTCCTAGTGTTAATAGACAAGTAGTCTGTTTTACCCAATATCCAGAGTCTTTCTATCAAGTATTTAGTAGTAGTAAGGGCAGAGATTTATCAAAAAGAAACTATATATTCTACAAAGTGGGAGCAGGCCAATGAAAAAGCTCAAGAGTGAGTTTGACTCAGACTGGCCCTATATGTTTTAAATCTTGAGGTATTTATTGGGACCTTTGCTGGGTTTTTGGTGGTACTAACAGGTACTCTGCCCAGTTGAGTTTCCACCCTCACATCAGGAGAAAGTTTTTGAATTTACACAGGTACAGAGGGAACCAGCATAGCTGCCAAAGCCCATAAGGAGTGTCAAAACCACAATGGTAATGATACTATAATGACCGTGGTATAAACCTTGGTTACTCTAAAGCAGTTAGAGCCCATGCCCCTTAGGCTCATGCCAGATGTCAAGGAACTGGTAAGAGCAGGAGCATCTTGTAGACTCATGCTGAATGAATGTCAAGGAAGTATGAACAGAGCAAAAATATATCTTTTAGGCTCATGCCTGGATGTTAAGAAAATATGGTTAGAGCAGGATGATCTTGTAATATCCAAGACCCAAAGGCATCCTGCCTACTGTAAGCCTAAGGCAGATGTTTCCCACACTATCTCCTCACTGGTCTATTTGTGCTTCTGTAATAGAACACCTGAGACTGAGTAATTTATAAAGAACAGGCATTTCTTTCTCACAGTTATAGAAGCTGGAGACCAAATCTCAAGGTACTTGCCAATTCAGTGTTACATGAGCTTGGTCTCTGCTTTCAAGATGATGCCTTTGTGGCTGGGTCCTCTTATGGGGCGAGGGTGGAGAGAAAAAGAAAACTAATGTGTCTTCACATGTCAGATGGCCAAAAAAGGCCTTGCTAGTCTCCTCCAGCCTTTTCTGTAAGGCATGAATTCCACCCTAGAGGGTAAAGACCTCATGGCTTAATTAACAACCTCTTAATATGGTTTCAGTGGGGATTAAGTTTCAACATGAATTTGGGAGGGTAAACATTCAAACCATAGAAGGCCTCTTAATAATAAAACCTGGACTAAGATGTTATGCTTAACTTTGTGGACTATGGGGTACCCAGATATTTTGGGTATTCTGTGAGGGCATAAAAGATAGGGATTGGGTCTTAGTGCCTAGTTCCTGGTTCCTGGCGCATATCTACTAAAGCATCAGAATTTCCTAAATGTCTTAATTAATCCTAAATTTCCTAAATTAATGCACTTTCAATCATACCTGAGTTTATGTTAATAAGATCACTTTTAGGACACGAGACTGATTGCCAGAGACACCAACTATGTAGCTAGAAGACTGGAACTTTGAGTTCTTTTTGACCCTCCACTCCATGACCTCCAGGGGACTGGATGAGGGCTGGGACTGAGTTAATCACCAATGGCCAACCACTGAATTATGCTTATGTAATGGGGCCTCGATAAAAACCCTCAATGATAGGGTTCAGAGAGCTTCTGAATTGGGGAATGCATTCACGTGCCTGGAGAGTGTTATAGCCAAGTCTATGGAGACAAATCTCTATTTTAAGACACAAGTCTGCTCACTTTTTCTGTAAAGGGTCAGATAGCAAATATTTTAGGATTCTGGACCCTATAATGTTTTTTAACAAGAAAGCAGCCATAGACAATATGTAAACAGATATAACTATGCTCCAATGAAACTTTATTTTTTAAAAACAAGTGGTCAGGGCCAGGGATTTAGCTCAGTGGTTTTGCTGCCTGCTACCCAAGCGCAAGGACCTGAGTTTGATCCCCGGTACCAAAAAAACAAAAACAAGTGGTCAGCTGGGGCTATCTGCAGACCTCTGGTCTAAGGTAACTTTTCAAACTTTAGGCTTTACTATTTGGCATTCTATCTCTTAAACTTGAACAAAGCAGAGACTGATTGGAAGCTATTTACCAATTCAATTTTATGTGTCTTAACAACTAGTATCATTGGCCTTAGGAAAAAGCCCCACCACAAGCCCAATAAATATATTTGAGGCCATGCAAGTCAGAGAATTTCTTTATTCACAAAGTGCATTCTTTAGCTAGTTTCAAAGAAAGTCTAATAAATTAGCCAATAAAAGTTCAGAAATGATTATATAGATAGCTACAAATACCAGTATTAATCTTTTTAAAATCAGTAAGCATAATCATTAGGTCTTTACTCACATATTTGCAGCTTAAAGATCAGAGTGTCCTGTCTTCCACTAAAGTACAAACTGCTCGTGCTTACCCACCATGGGTTAAGCCTAAGGTTTTCATCTCTTTACCTTGATCACAAATAGAACCTTCCCTTGTAACTTATTAGCTTTTAAATACAAATTCCAATGAATGAATCAAAAAATAAAAATATATTTACCATCAGTAAATTCAATTACTTAATACTGCAAAATATTTGTTTGTAAATACATCAAAACCAGTCACAATCTAAAAGACTTAAAGATGTATTTTTATTCATTTTAAATGAAAAAGACCTCATTTCCTAACAAACAGGCAAGCTACCAAATAGTTTTATAGAGCCTCATTTTTATTTTTCATAATCAATCTCTTCCCTGTTTGAAAATGGAATCTGAGAATTCTTTTAGATTTTTATTTAGCTTATACACTGAAAATTCTGACAAGCACTTAAAGAGATCCACAATTAGTGCAAAAAGAAAATACAGTAATTTAGAGGTCATTCTTTCCCAGTATAAATAGAGCTAAGGTTACTAAATACCAGATATTATGTAAATATATAATTTCCTACTTTTCTTTCTGAAAGATAGCAGATAGAAAAATATTAACATTAGGTTTGGTGAGATTTATAGCTCATGTATTACAAGCTTTATTTTAACTGCAAAACTATTTTAGCCATATTTAGGGCAAAAATAAACTTACTGAGAATCTAACTTTATTATTTCTAAAGGCTAGATGCAAGAATGTTAATTGTTTTCCTTGTAAGTGGAATACATGCCAGAAAACTTACGGCAGTCATTTGATAGGAATGAATACATTCAAAAAATACTAGTTAATCTGTGGAGAATTCCATATTTGCTTATTTCCTCCATTTGGTAAGGCTTTGGTATAGGTAATTCCCGGCACTTTCATCATTTATCTTTCTTCTTTGCTTCTTTCTTCTCATCCTTCTGTCTTCTCATTTTTGTATTTGATGTTCCTTCTTCACCTTCCTTCTGAGAATTATCAGTTATTTGATAGTCCTCAAGGAGTTTTTGTCCTGTTTGTTTTGCAGTTTTCTTCACCACTGCTTTGATACCAATGTTGTCAATATTATAGGCAGTTACACCAACATTGATGGCAGAATCCACTGCATGGTGTGTAGCTTCTCCTGCATTATGCCCGTATCTTAAAAAAGAGAGAGAGAGAGAATGTACAATGAAATTATATGTTGTTAATCAGTCATTTTTTAACCTTCCCTTTTTGGAAATAACAGTGTAAGGAAAAAATTTCACTGAAGCAACTGCAGGACAAAGAATCTAGTCATAAATGAACTTTTAAACTATGGGAATCTGAGTCTGTCTTTAAAGAGAGAGTCTATAACATTCTCCTAGATATCACACACTACTGCAAAATCACTGGCCATCCTGCTGTTCCTTAAACCCACCAAGCACACAAACGCCTTAGGACTTGTGTACCTGTTAATCTCTGCCTGGACTTCCCATGGCTCACTACCTTACTTTCTTCAAGTCAGTCCAACTATTATCTTATCAGTGCCTAACTTGCTCAAATGGCCTTCTTCCCTATGTCCCACATCAATGCTCAATCCCCCCTTAAACGGCTCTTTCTTCCAAACTTACCACCTTTTACATAATATAAAATTTATTAATGACTACTCTTTATGTCTTACTTGTGTCTCATTAAAATATAAACCCCACTGGAGATGAGATTCTTCGTTTTGTTCATTAACACATCCTAAACATCTATAAGAGTGCCTGACATTTAATAAATATTTAATGAGTGAAATGAATAGTATCTTCCCTATCCACCTCAGCTTCTTGAACATCCAATGTATAGCAAAGTATTTGTGAAATTATAAAACAAACAGAATAATCATCAGTATGTCTTTAATGCCAATCTGAAAGCCTACACAAGGATGCTAAAACATGTCTCCCTATGTTTTGTTTTACTCTTAACCCCTGTTCTGATGCCAACCTTTTAATGGTTTTCTTATCTACAAGTTTTCCCAAATAACAAAACAAAACAAAACAAAAAAACAAGCAAAAACCTGCAAAATTTTACATTTTCTCTTCCACATGAAGTTTCATAGGTACTTTGTGAACAATATCTGCATGTTTTATATCAACCCTGGAGACTTGTTCTTTTGAATGAACAAGTCCTCTATTTCTATTACATTCTAAAGTACTAAGATGTCTTAAGTGTATTTTCATTAGTTGTGCTTTTTAAAAGTATATCCTCTCTTATCACCTCTGCCTTCCTATATACCTTAGAACCAGTTTTCCAAATAGGCATCCATTACTCTGAGAATCATTATAAATGATCTTTTAAACTATGGGAATCTGAGTTTGTCTTTAAGCAGAGATAACTTCCAGTCTTTTTCTTCAAATTCAAACTAAACTGCAAAAATACCTCCCAGAAACCTTATCTCTGACAAGAATATAAAGCTTATTTTAGGTATATTTTTAATAAATTAGCTTAATTTGGATCTTTAGATATTAACACTACCAAGTGAAGAATAAAAATTAGTATGAAGTATGCCCTAAATAATCAACAGGATTTAATTTACAGTGTGAATTAGACTTTTCATAAATTTCTTCATTGTGTTCAGTGAGTCTGGCTACAAAGACAACACATGGGCAATGATTCTAGATTTTATTAATTATAGCAGCATTTCAGCCATATCAACTCTCAAATGTGTCTGCCTTTAAGTCAATTTTATATAACTGTCAAAACTATTTTTGGAAATACTTGGAATACTAGAAATAGTTTTTAATTAATGTATCTATCAAACACAGATGGCTTGTGGCTAGTTTATGAGGGAACTTGTAGGGAAATTAAGGAGTTTAAGACAAAATTTAAGCAAAGGAATAGCATAATCAAATTTAAAACATCCATCTAACTCATGTTGCATTGTGAATTAAAGAGCATAAGACTAGAGGCAAAGAGACCAATTAGGAAACAGGTGTGACCTGCATGAAAAATAATAAGAGTCTATCCTAAGATAGTGAGGTTTGAGGACAAGGACTAAATATAAAAATCAACAGGACATGGTGGTGTAAAGTCTGTAGTGGTATATAGTTGGGATGTTTAAGCCCAAAGATTAAGACAAAAGTTAACAGAAAACATAGCCTTGTCCATAAAAAGTGCATGAGAGAACAAAGTGTAAAACCTCACAAAGAACAAATAGATTATGAATGGGTTTGGCTGAAAGACTGGTGAGATAAAATGAAAAGGTGAGCTAAGTGAGAATATTGCAAGGAGATCTGAAGATTGCTAATCCATTAATCTTAAAAAGCATTAAATACTGGAACAAGATCAGTCAGCGGAGAGTTAAGTAAGCATGTGATTAGACCTTACCCATGAAAATTTCTGGAAAAAAATCTCTCTCTATATATAAAATTCATCTTTTTATCTACTGATAATTCAAACTGGAAAAAGCTGTCTGATATGACTCACCTCAAAAGCAGAATCTTAAATGAAAAAATGACTTAATGACAGGTTAAAAATCAAGGAAGTAAAATTAAGCAGTATAAAAAGGGGATCTTATTTTAGGCACAAGTAACTACTGTCCACAGAGAAGATAAAGGCCTAGATAGATATAAAGGTTTATTCTTTTAAAGTGTAAAGGTTTTTGTTTGTTTGTTTGGTAGTGCAATGGACTAAACCCAGGGTCTTTGCACTGAGCTAAATCCCCAGCCCTGTTTTTTTACCCTATTCTGAATGTTGAGACAGGGCCTAAGTTGCCCGGGCTGGGCTCAAATCTGTGATCTTCCTCCTCAGCCTCCCAAAGTGCTAAGATTACAAGTATGTACCACAATAGCCTGCAAAAAAGTGAAAGCTTCATAAAACATCTACCAAAATGTACTCTTTGTCTTGTGTGCCATATTTATCAAGAACAAAATATGACCAAAACAAGGGCAACAAAGGCCACTATATTTGAATTGATCATAATGTGGGCAGCATCAGATTTAATTCTGGATGCTGTAGTTTGAGAACACTGATAAACCTTCATTTGTCCCTAATACAAACAAAAGATGAACGAAATAAGGACCTGGGAACCATACTATATGTGAAACTGGTAAGGAACTGAGGATACTTAGAAAATAAGAAAAAAACAGTGACTGGCATAAAGACAGTATTTAAATATTTCTACTAATACCTAGAAAAGAGAAGAATAATTCTAAATAATTCCAAATAGGTATCAAATAGAACTGGTTTCAGGTATAGGACATTTGGCATTGGAGTTACTCCTTCAATTCATAAAAATTTAATAGAGATTTTAATTAAATTCCACTAAGCAAACCAATAAAACACTGTGCCACAAAACAAATTTCTTACAAGAAAATATTTATCTTTAAGCTTATTTTCCACAATATGTAATCAAAGATAAAATACTGCTAAAGGAAAATAAAAATAGATCTAACTTACTAGAATTAGTTACTTGCCTTAAAACAAAAGTGCAACCACAGAAGCTTAGTCGTGAAATCTAGAAGCTATGTAGAAGAGTAATGAATTATTTAATAGGAACTATACTGCAATTAAGGATAATGGGTTTAAAGTTATTTATTGTTTTCATTGTCCCTGTTGGTCTTCATGTGCCTAAATGTAAAATACGACAAAAATATTAATGTAACTGACAAAAATAAATGACTCTTTGCTATATGTTTATATCTAAAAATGTTGAGGGTAGATAATCCTGTTTCAGTTTATACCACCAGAAATCAGATAAGGAAGTTTATATTTGTTTGGGCACAATGCATATAATTCAGGCAGATTTAGAACAACTTCTTGGGAGAGTAATGTTTTATCACAGGGAGTAAGAACACAAATATTCTTTATTATACTATCATCATTTGGATTAGCATAAAAGAAAACAACCACAAATACTCTACTTGCTGATAGTATAATAAAAGCTACTTAACTAAATCCTCACCTATTTCTTTTTTCCGCATTTCATGTACCTTTGCAGGAATGGATAAAAAGAATACCTGTACACACTATACAAATAAATTAACTCAGAACCACTTTTAAAATATCCTATTTGTCTTATTACATAATTTTCACTAAGGACCAAAACACAAAGTCAACATCAGATCCCAGTATTTCCTACTTACGTGAATCTCAAACTTGGAGAAACCCAATGAGCACTTACATTTTCTAATATGAGCACTTTCATTTTCTAATATGACTGCCTATTGTTTGTGCTAACAAATGATAATGATAATCTAAACACAATTCACTTTTGGCCTAAAAGGTACTTCTATCTTTTTCTTCCTTTTACTACAAAATAAACTATTCTTCTAGCTGTGTCTCAGCTATTAAAGTCAGGCACATAATTAATGACTATATGTGAGAGGTCAATGCCACAAGCAAGAAGAGGTGAAATGGAAGGCTGAAGTTTTTACATTTCTAGCAAAAGCATTTCAGATGAACCCTATATTTTCTTTTTCAATTGTTTGTTTTTTGGAAAAACTGATACTCCAAGATGGTGTGCTATGTTGTTTTGATTCAAGGGTACCCATGCCCCTGACTGAGCATATTAAATCAATTTAGGACAGCTTAGTATATAGTTAAGTATTTCCTAAGCCAAAAGAAATGCTAGAAAATAAGGCTCAAGCTTGTGATCCTCCTGCCTCAGCCTCTCAGAGTGCTGGGATTATAGGCATGCACCATTAAGCCCAGCTTAAAGAGTATAGTCTTTACTGGTGCAACCACTGTGGAAATCAGTATGGAGATACCTCTAAGAACTAGGACTAGAAGTCCCATTTGGCCCAGCTTTTCCTCTGCTGGGTATCTTCCCAAAAGAATTAAAAGAATCATACCACAGTGATATATACACACCCATGTTTATAGAGGCAGAGTCTGTAATAGCTAAAGCTTGGAAACAACCCAAGTGCCCATCAACTAGAGATTGGATAAAGAAGATGTGGTTTTTTTAATAAAATGGAGTACTACTCAGTCATCAAAACTGAGAAATTAGAGACCTTTATTGCTAAATGGATGCACATTGAGGCAATACTCTTAAGTAAAATAAATAGGACACACATGTGTAAATACTTAATAGTTTCTGTGGTGTGAGAAACTGAAAGTGTAAATAAGGATTAAAATGAATAACTGATAATGTAAAATAGGAAGAAAAAGTCCAAAGGGATAGGGGAAAGGAAAGA